TACATACTTTGAAGGCTGTGCACTGGTAGTTGGTAGTTATGAATGTCAATCTCAATACCAAGTGTTGTCTTGCAACACTTGAAAGTTTGTCTAATCTCAGGTTTGCTTGAGTAAATAGTTTAAAAAAATGAGGTTTTGTAACTACTAAATAACACAAGATAAAAATCTAAATCAACAACCTTACCACAGTTCCCCATGTTTAAAAATTTTATATTTTGACAGTCTTTCCTTTATTAACAATGCTTGTTGTGATTTATATCTTTTTATCAACTTTCTCTAGTTCTTAGTGCTTAATGTTTTGTTGCCATGGAAACCTTTTCACACTTCCCAAAATCTTAATTTTCTGTGTTGACAACATTTGAACAAATACTAACACTGAATTATTTTACACTCCGACAGCCCTTCTAAAGTTCCTAATGTTTGACATATGTTATTCAAATCTTAACACAGATCCTTTTTTTTTTCTTTTCACAATCTTTCCATACTTCCTAATATGCAGTAAATTTTGATAATCTATCTACAGTTTCTAAAAATGTGTTCCATGTTTTGTTACATGGATCCTAAGAGTTATTTTTTGCATTTTCTCAGCCCTCTACAGTAATTATTTTTTTGCATTATTATTTTAAAATCTCTTACTTCTTATGTTTGATATGTTTTAACCTTTTCTTGGGTCGTAATGCTTGATCATTTTATGTTTTGAGAACATCTCCCACTTCCAAACAACTTGATGTTACTGAACACTTGACATTTTTTGTGCACCTTTCCTTCCTCCTCCTACTTTTTAATTTTTTGTTCAATGAATTAATCTGAGACAGCTTTATGTTACCTTTCATAAGCACAGTAAAGTTGTGCTCTTTCCACCGTGTCAGTATATCTTCTAACAATACAGTACAGTGGAGTGAACAGTTATGACTTGACACACTTTTTTCACACAACTTCACTACATCTCCTAATATAGTACTGTTGCCTGCAAGATAGTTCAGAAATATAATTAGTACAAGATATTGGTAAGAATGAAATATTATCCAAGCCTATAAAAACATATGACACAATTCACCCAATTTATTACACTATGAAATTTAAAATATATACGTATATCAAAAGCCTATGAGTAAAACTGAAAAATACATAATGTTTGGGAAAACTTAATCTATTGTTTTTCTTTGTACTGAATATTTGAACAAAGCTACACATCACCACTACCACCCATGCACTTTTGAGTTATTCTATTTTTGAAAATGGATTTGACTATCACTTTTAATGCGCCCACAACAGAGCATGATTTTGCATTAGCAGATAATCTTTTGGATCTTCCTTTAATATAACCTAATTTGAAATACACATAGTAGTAGTATATTGATGTTCACCCAAATGTAAACACACAGAACATTTACGATGTGCACACATAACCTTAGATGTTTAGGCACCTTTTCCTCATATAGATGTTTACTTCATATCATATCCCTTATCATTGACATCATAAAGTGGAAATTAGTCTACACCACATTGACAAAAAGACTGCTTACATCATGAAGTTGAAATCACACCAAAATATATCCAATTCAAATCCTATCTTATCTATACCATCCCTTTATGAATAACATCACAAAAACCTTACTGGTGTACAAAGCCAATCCATAGTAAGACGAGTAGATTAGTGAACATTGGAAGCACAAAGTTTCTTTAATTATATTAAATCTGCTCATCAAGCTGAAAATACAATCAGGTAGTGGAACTAGAGTTAATGCCAAGGGAGTTGTTAAACTCTAGGTAGACAGATGCCTGTTGGGAGAGGACTTCCTGGAAAATAGGAGTTACATAAAAAAAAGAAATATTGAAATATACTTAGCAATATAATATACTCTGAACTAACATGCCATCAAAGACATAGAAATCCAATGCTGAAGACTGTTATAAGCTAGAAATTAGAGAAGGTCTTGGAAGTATTCTACCTCCAAATGGAATAGTAGTTTGATAAAGTGGCAGGATCAGGTGCTATGTGTGAACACAACAAGCCCCTGGCAATACAAAATATTTTAGACATCTACTCAAAGTCACAGTTGTGATGTACTTCCAAAAATTCTAAGATCAGATAACAGTATGTATCAGTCTCCTACATAATAAATTATATAATGATACAATTATGTACTGTCCTCATAAGGTGTTACACACCACCATTTTGGTTCTTAGTGATCCATTGTTGTACTTGGGCTTCGGAACCTCAGTGGAAAAACAATAAAAAACAATACAGGGACAGTAAGAAAATGATACATGGCACATGCAAATACTATCAAATTAGAATGATTCTACAGTCTTGAAATTAACTGACCATAGGTATCTTCTCAGTAATATGTATGGTTAACCTAGTCTTTTTATGAAATGGTTCGCCCTGTGAGAAAAATAACTAAAATTTTGATGGTTTTCTTTAAACTGGTAATAGTAACCTTATTAGTTTAGTATAATCAAACAAGTTCCAGTATTTCAAATTTAAGTAATATTTAACATGAAAATCTGAGAGAAAGGGTTTAATATAAATGCACAACTTTTATAGTATTAAAAAAAAGTAACAAACTTAGAGAGAAACCATGCAATTAATAAGATTTTTTCAAGGTTGCAAGCTTATTAGGAAGAATAAAATGACTGACAATTTAATAGACAGACCAAAGAAGTACCTTTCAAGTAGCCAAACATTAATAGAAAATAATTGGTTTTTATGGGCTCTTTTAGTATTTATATTGTGTTTTCTCATAAGCATGTTGGTAGTGTGTGTGTGTGTGTGTGTGTGTGTGCACAGACACACACACATATACAAAAAAACGTGTCTGCTGTAAAGCCATCAATTATTTTTCAATAGAAAAAAGTTGTACACAACAATCAATTAGATTCTGAAAAGGAAAATTTTACATGTAGTAGGAAAGACATACTAGGTATCTACATAAAACAAGGCTTATTAATTCTTTTCCTTCATAATTATGGGCTCACAGACAAAACAGAAAATGGAAAGTAAAGGAAACCATATGACAATACCCAGGAAGAATCCAGCTGATGTCTCAAAATTTAAGACATATTCTGTACCACTATAGCTTTATACACATATCAAAACAGTGTCATTTGATGAGACTCAACAAAGCTTTATACACGTATAAAAACAATGTTGTTTGATGAAACTCAAAACAGTTCTACAATATTAGAAGTACAAAATGGCTAAGAAAAATAAATACAAATTTCAGCATCATTATCAGCAATATAAACAGCTTCGTCTTGGTAATAAGTACAAAAAAAATTAAACACTACAATACATAATAAGAAACAAAGAGTACTTGAAGCAAATCTAAATTTGGTTACAATGAAAGAAAATGTGGTCAAATAAACTTTCAAATGTCCAATATGACAAAAAGAGGTTGTTAACACAAGGCAGGCACAAGAGAAATACAGATATTTACAGTAAAGATGTCCATAAATTAGATTAACAGCTAAGGCATACTAATAGGTAGCATAATGGGGTTACAAGTAAATACACTAATTTATCTCTTGGTGGTGGGGGTCCTCTCATGAAGTACATGAATTTTTAAAGAGGTTTAATGTAAGATGTCACACGACAGAGAGAAAAAGAAGCATGAGAAGACTATGAAGAACTCAGAATACAAATGTCTGGAAGACAATATTTTACAATTAACGTAACTGGATTTTTTTTTATAAAAATATTAATTGCAATTTTAAGCATTTTAATGTATCACATAAGTATCTTTCCGAGATCAATGACTATGAAACATCAGTGCTGAAGATTGCAGAAAACAAAAACTGTTTCAGAAAAAACAGTTTTTTTAATCTCTAGCAGATACATTTATGTATTTGATCACTGGAAACCAGGTAACAGAATAAATGGAAAAAGAAAGTCCATTATAAAAATATGGAGAAGGCACAGTATCTAGTTCCTGAGCTTAATTCTTACATGTGGCAACTTGCATACAGAGATTGTATCACAAAACTGCACTAACATAACTTAATGTTGTTTAAATTATTAGAATTAAGTTTAGGAATTAGATACTCTACCCCTCCAATGTGTGTGTGTAATTCTCAAACTTAGTTAGGTGGTACTTTAAATTACATCTTAACTTTTCAGGTTCTGCTACAGAATGTGTACATACACACACACAAATACTGATATTGCATGAAACCAAAGCTTTTATCACTTTCAAAATATGTATTGTTTAGTACTTTTTTTATATTCAAATCTTTACGTTACATGTATCTATCTTCTGGACCTCTTTCTTTTTTAAATGTTATCTTGAAGATTGTCAGTTGCACTCAAATAATCTACATGTACAACAATGTAACTGAACACAAAGGCAAAAATAAATGTAAAGATTTACAAACTGAGACATACAATGTTACATGTAACAGCACTTTACGTACCATGCATGTCCTCTGAAACAGTTTTATTACATGAAGCTAACATGAAAATGGAGAAGAGGGTAGCCAAAGTAGTACTGTTCCTTATCATCCTGGTCAGAATCTTGTTCATAGCTAAGGAGTTTTCCACCTATCTGTATGTACATATACACACAAACAATATAAACTCTAACTTAAACATTGGAAACATACCATCTATAACAACTGTTGTAGGTTTCTCTTTATCCATCATTCACTGATTAATAAACTTTTACATTTAATTATTTTTTATTCTAGTAATAAAGAAATAGTTAACTTGTTTTAATACAGAATAGAATAGAAATGGAATTTTTACTAAATTATACAAGCCATTGTTACAATTTTACTTGGAAAATAATTTATTATTTGGCCTTCTGCTAAACACACAAAAAAATAGGTAAAAATAAAATATCAAAATGTACACTCAGAAGAAGGATCATAAAAAGTTTGAAAAGTAGTTGAAAGGATTACTCTATAAACATAATGAGTTTTTCCTTTTGAAATAACATTATCATTAGGCTAGTAACATCCAACAAACACAATGACTCAATTGTAAATTGAACTTTAAATCCTAAAATTGTGAATCAATTACACAGAAACTGTCATATTTTGGTGGTAAATTTAATAAGAGAAAATCTGCTACACCAATTTCTCAAATTAAACTTTGCACAAGTTTAGGAATCAAGCTCTTGCTCAGAAAAAATGTAATGAAATACCCAAAATGTTGTTTCAATGTTGATAAAAAATTCACACTAAAGCAAGGCTATTATTGAACAGGGCCATTCCTTTTTCATCTTGATGTGCACTTTAACAAATGGTTTCCATATTCATGACATCTAGGACACACTACATAATTAGTAGAAGTAACAATAAATATTCAACTACTTCTTAAAACTCTTTGGTTGAGGTCTGATTAATTTTATCTAAGTCTGTCAATTACTGAACATTTTAAGATAATGAAAGTGGTTACAATCAGAACAAAAATTATCTTATTTTTACTATCCCTTTTGCTTTACACTTTTATGGTCTTCTTTTTGTTTGGATTTAAACATTTTGAATGACCTCTTTCTCATTGCTTTAACTTCAACAGTAACCCGCATTGTGAATGCATCTATATTTGCATTTTATGCAAACATCACACCTTCCAACTTTACACTGAGACTAGGGTAAACATGGCCTTTGGACATCCTCCCAACATGTACTGAGTAGTCTTGCACTGAAAACAAATCCTCTCTATATATATAATACTTTGCAAAAAGGCAATGAACTTTCTCCAAAATCTTGACACAAATAGATGGATAAGCTTGTTTTAAAATGACGATGTCTCTGCAAAAGGTGAACCAATGATCACAAAGTTTGTATTGTTCAAAAAAAATCTCTAATATTACATTGTTCAAGAAAGACAATTTCAAGTCTTTTTTTATCAGTTGTCAGATATTATGACCAAAACACCTAATTTCTGTGCAATTAATTCCTGATTTTATGGTTAAATCTCAAGGAAAATAAAAGTGTTTTAAATTTTAAAAGGCTTACAACTAAGTTTTGTGTAATTACATTGGAAACTGGTTTGTAATTTTAACAGTTTTATGCTTGTATCTTCATACCCAGTGTCAATATAGCTGAGAATAAATGAAAGAGACTGGGCATTTATTCTACACTAATAAATTAGCTATTAAGTTAAAATGACTCCTCCTAATGTAAAACTGATAAGTTATAAAACTAGAGTTAGGAATTTGTAGTAGTTCTCTTTAGTACACAAAATAATTAGGGTTTGATCTAGTTGTTCCCAGTAATAAGGAAAATGTATGATCTGCCTGGAGAGAGCCCACTTCATTTCTGTGGTGATAGGATGGGCAATAATTAGATTAAAATGGTTATTTGGCTGGCAGCCAGATACTAAGTGAGAGTTATTTACCCATAATCCTCGTATCAAATCAAGAGTTTTGTGTATGTGCCCATGTGATCTTAACACCAGCTTGGCTAGCTCAGTTAGTACAGCACAAGACTCTTAATCTCTAAAATAATATAAACTGTGAAATGAGGTTAATCTAAGATAAATAATCTCCTTAATCAATTTCACTCTATTTTTTTTAGTTTGCAAAGACAGGAAAATATTTTGTTTCCTTTCATTGAGATTTGCTATTTACATTGTAGTCAAAGCAGACCAAGGAAAATTTCATTTTTGTGAGACTCAAGTTCTGCATCCATTTTATTGGCCAAGCCTAAGTACACAACCACCTTTGAATTTTACATATTACTAGTTTCAAGTTATCTATTTGAACTACATAGTCACATACAAAATACTGTCCATGGTGGCATATATCATCATGAAAACAATTATGAAAGGGTATATACATGCCTTTTATGTATATAGTAAAATAAGAGCAAGTATACAACTATTGCATATATACAGTAAAACTAAAATGAAAACTATTCATATCTGTCATGCAGACTATCAATCATTCTGAATATAAACACAACTGTCTTGGAACTTTACATATTACTAATTGCAACTGGGTAAGTTCTGAACTAACCTAACGTAAAATAACCAAATCTATAATAACTTAGGATTTCATAATCTGACCAAACCTAATCTTACCTATTTCATCAGAATGTGACATGGAAAATATGGTTACCCTACTTGTGTTGATCATAGTTATTTGTGTAGTCAGATAATTAATATTGCAATATGTTTCGTCATGTAGAAATAAATTTTCACACAGTGTTTCATCTCTAAAGAAAAACACAAAGAAAATATTACTTAAGGTAAAAAAATCAGTTGTGGGTTAGATTTGAATGACTGGCTTTGGGATCTTGAAACTCGTGTCTTTGCCCGAGTATTACATCATCATGTCATATTAATCATAATATTATATTCTGTCAAATACAAATACCTAAGTACTACCTTGGGTTCTTTCAAAACGTAATGTGGACAGAAAACTCTACCAAGTACCATTCTTATTTAATTATTATTAATACTGTTTCGTACAACAATTTCAGAAATTTTTATCACTTCAATTTCGTATGATTGCTTAATCTTTCATTTTCAACTTACAATACAATTACAAATAATTGACGTATCGCCTACTTAGAGCAAGTTACAACTTAAATGTAATAATATTAGTAATACCACATAACACACGGATAGGTCTAGTTAGGCCTAACAAAACTGCAGCAATATTAGGCAGATACCTTAGTAATATTTCAAATTATTTTTGATATTGAATTTTTAGGATACTTGGAAAAGTTAGTATTACATTTAAAGTTAAAACTGTTAGTGTTAATGGTATGTACAAAATAATATTAATTGATGTTCGTTTTCTAAATTCAGTTATCCATTAAAATTATACATTTCAGTAACTTCGGACCTATAAATTATAAGTAAACTAAACTTATAAATCAATTAAAACTAACTTACATGATTATAATATGAAAACTTTCTTCTGTTGCGTTGCACAAATATTACCCTTCTGAGAAATTACTTACGTCAGAAATAAACTAACAGCAATACTTAAGTTTATACTAGCTAAATATCCCTCTACTGGCTGATGCAACAATTTATCCCAAAGTACAATTTATGTCAAACATTCATAAAAATATAAAAAACCGCATGATTTGTAACATTCAGAATTAGTGAAAAATCTTTCAAGAACATGGTGAAATTTTTAAGATTTTTTATATGCTACAAAATTAAGTTCAGCGAAACGTATAACCTTTTATTTTACCAAACGTGTGTACATAAACATAAAAATATCGTCAAACATAGGAATTTCACAAGCTGAAAACAGTTTTCAAGATACGGATTACATAGAGATTATAGAACTGCAACCGAAAAAATAAAGTAAACAGCAAGAGGGTCACTTATGTAATATTTCAAGAGGCGAGCTTTATAAATGTATATAAAACATATGCACCAGTGATAGTTTTTATATACTGATTATCTGTGTGAAATTCCTGGTGGTTCAACAGTAAGTCTGGAGTCTCATAACACTACAAATCGGATTTCGGTATTTGCAGTGGGCACAGCACAGGAAGCTCATTGTGTAGCTTTGTACTTAATAACAAACAAACAAACGTGGTATGTAAAAAAAAAAACATGTATTTTCTACCTTCTCATTTAATATATATAGTACTATTACAAAATTTCAGCTAGTGTATGTGCTTACACTAAAAAGTCGTTAAGTTGATTGTATTCTAGCTGTTGTTGTTTTTCTGTTATTCTCTGAAGAAAACCTGTTCTGTCCATGGATATATGGTTGTAATATTTCACGTTGTTCATAAAAATGAAGAATATATATATTTGAATCCTCCAATCGTAGAATAGCGGATATAGATATCTCGAGATTAAAACCTTTCTTATGTTTCAGTAATTATGTAATTACTTCTATCAGAAGAGCTGCTAAAATTCACATTAATAACTACAATTAACAACAATGAAAATTGAATTACTTTCACGCAGCAGACATGTACCAAAGCCGTACCAATTCATCACACTCGCGTTTTCTCTGTCCTTTCATAGCATCTCCTCTGTTGTATGGTTATACTTTCCATTTAGTAATGCTGATTTTAATGTCTTCACATAGTCTTATTGACACTGTGATACATCTGCGGTGGGAGGTCTACCATATATCACATTCATTGGGAGTTATACTTGTTGTAGACATCAGTAAGTGTGACAAACATACTGTCAGTCTTTGTTCTCTTGATGTATGGCATATGTTCACCCACACGGTTTCATTGGAATTTATATATTCTTGATAGCTTGAACAATTTATTCTGCCAAACCATTGGACTGTTTATGATATGTTAAAGTGCATATCTTCACGTCACATAACACAATATACTACTATACAAACAGTTGAAGTTGAAATTTACTATCCACTGTTTAGCAAACTCATCAGTAATGGTTTGTATTATTATATCAACGAATGGATAAGCTTTAGCTCATTTGGTGAAGCAATCAATAATAACCAGCACATACCAGTTACCTTACTCAATCTCTTGGAGAAGACCAGTTTCACTTAGGGCTATTCTCTGAAAAGGTGAACCTACAATTCTGTATCAGAGTTTCCTTAATGTGGTAAACTTTTACTTCTGGAAAACAAAAAGTGAAGTGCTTATATCATTACTCAAAGTCTCAATGCAAATGCAGCCAGAAAAACACTGGTCCTTAGTAAAAGTGCAAGAAACTCCCTGGTGGTCCAGTTTTTGCATTATGTAAAGTCTGAATATCACTTTTCTAAGAATTCTGGTTAATACTAGCTGCATGGTAGATACATTACCAATGAACATATTCCAGCATGTTTATACACATCTGTCTATAGTAGCAGAAAGACCATAATGTTCATTACTATATCCACCCGCATAAAATCTACATGGAACTTTGAGACGCCTTTCTTCTTTCTAATATTCTATACTACAGATTACTAAGCATTTTCTAAGGGTTATACTCTCCTTTAAGGAAGCTTGAATAGCAGTTGTTTTATGGGACACATCACCTGTATTTGTATGGTAGCACATTACTACTGTTTGACTCAAATGACTATGATATTCAGGTTTACTGATATCTGACAGAAAAGCCAATAGTTTCCACAAAACACAGATTTAGAAATTTTAAGTTAAGATCCACATAAGCACAAAGTATGATCGCAAGTGTGTTTTGAAGCATAAAATTCTTTATTGATAACACAGTGTCATGATACCAAAATCATCTGGGCTTCTTCTGTATGACAATCATTTGGCTGCTTGAGTTGTAGACAAGAAAGACAAAGACAGCTGCAAAACAAGAGATGTAACTCTGGAAATATTCGACTTACATACCCTGCAAAAGAGAGCCTTAATAACGTATGCCACCACTCCACAAGTTATATGCTTCACTTAATGGATTACATACAATTATTAGTTTCCCAAAGCAGTATTTACAGGTTTTTGCATTCCCTATTTGAATGTTATCCCTTTCAAGAAGTCCGTACAGAAATATATACACAGTACACCATTTGTCATTTGGAAGCACTTTGACTTTCTTCTCAACACGTACTTCTGTAGTCTAGTGTTCTTAGTCTCAATATGGCAGCACTGGGTCATTTTCTACAGAACAACAACCCAACTGCTGCACAAGTGAAACTGGCTTACAATTTCTGCAGTAGATCAATCCCTCAGATACGAAAGCCTGAAAATTCAAAGGCAATTAATTTTTTTCTGCAAGTTACAACACCAAGAAGTGGAAGAAGTAACTTTTAATTTATATTTAGCTTGTCACTATTTGCCAAAATGAAGCTGGTATCAAAAGACCAAGGCAATGGCTTCACTCAGAGTACATAGCACACTGCAACATTCTAGTTTATCCTAGGTCAACCAAGAACTCAACTTCACTTCCACGTGTCTTTACTGGCACATACTAAGTCCAATCATTTGTGTTTGAGCTCGAATGCTCATCATACATTTGGCCACAAGCTGATCGCTCTATTCTGAGGCATAATTAGTTTCATGACACTAGAGTTGCACCAGCTTATTGTCCCTCCTGAATCTGTTGTGGAATTGGGCAGGACTGTACATTCTACATATTCTACCCGAGAGTAAAAAGCAGGCAACTTTGTTTGAAATACACCACCAGTTTACAACCAAAGCAAGAAATTCATCCCTCCTGTCGAGACCTAGAGAAGACAGGTATCTTGGCCCAATTTTTACATAGCATGGATTTGTTGGCCTACATCGACATTTGGATTTTTGCTTAAATTATTTTAAAAATACTCTCACATCCTAAATTTTCCAGCATTTGGTGTAATATATGTATAGTTATTTAATTCAATTAACTCTAAGAACACAAAATATCCCTGGCAGATCAATTTTGTTTCTTTCATGTATTTAGTAGCTAGTTGCTTTGATAGTTTATACACGTTATGATTGGGTTACAGTCAACATCAATACAAAAGCATAGCAATATTAAGACTGAAATACGAAGTGTCGTTATTGCGCTTCTCTCTAACATATCATTTGCAGTCTTCCAAGTTAAATTTCTCGAGAAAGAAACAGACATTACAGAATATTTTATTGATATTCTGATTATTGTATAATAATATATTGCACGACACAGCATAAAATTAGTTCAACTAATGATGTTTTGTGAGCATTAATACTTTTTTAAAATTTAATTAGTAAATATGATCTAGCTTTTGTTCCCCATTGGCTCAGTAGTAAGCTCGAGAGCTTATAGTACCAGAATAAGGGCTTAATCCCCACGATAGGTACAGTATAGATAGTTTATTCTGCAGCTTTTCACTGGAACAAATAAAAGAACTAGATGATATAAACAAAATTTTCTCTCTCTCTTTGAACCTAGCTACTTGAGATTAAGTACACAAAAGACAATAAAACTAGAATCTTCAAAGTATTGTTACGTATCTGCTCGTTTGTTAATTTCCGGTATAAATTCTTTCCGAGGAACTTCAGCGATACAAGTCCT